CTTTGCTTCTGCTCACTTTATATATTTCTGCTTAGATTTTTTTTTTTTTACTATTTCCAGCACATACTCATGTGTAAATTATAAAATTTAAATTTATATATAATATATATAAATATAAAATTATAAATGTGTAATTTAAAAACAATACAACTGCCCTAGCCAGCTTGGCTCAGTGGATAGAGTGTCGGCCTGCGAACCAAAGGGTCCCGGGTTCGATTCTAATGAAGGGCATGAACCTCGTTTGCAGGCTCCTCCGCAGCCCAGGCCCTGGTCGGGGCTCGTTCAGGAGGCAACCAATCAATGTGTTTCTCTCACATTGGTGCTTCTCTCTGTCTTTCCCTCTCTCTTCCACTCTCTCTAAAAATCAATGGAGAAATATCCTCGGGTGAGGATTTAAAATCAATCAATCAATAACATAAAAACAACACATCTTACAAAGTTTTGAATGAACAGGATGAAGCCTAATTCCAGACGTTGGTAGGGTAATTGATCCTCATGACAGTTGGGGAACTGCCTGGTACACACCTCAGTGGAGAGAGCATCGGCCTACAGACTGAAGGGTCCCAGGTTCGATTCTGGTCAAGGGCATATGCCTGGGTTGTGGGCTCGATCCCCAGCAGGGGGCGTGTAGGAAGCAGCCAATCAATGATTCTCATTATTGATGTTTCTATCTCTCTTCCCCTGTCTCTTCCTCTCTGAAATCAATAAAAATATATGAGGGGTGGGAGGGGCCGGGGAGTGAGGGGCGGAACAAGGACCAGCTTAGGTGGAAGAGGTGTAGAATCCGACAAGGTTTTGATTTTAGATGCACAAAGCTGTGTGGTACCATGCATTTTCATGTCTCTGGTAAACTGGCGAGGAGGGCTTCGAGGGCTGAGGAGTCCCCTGGGAATGGACTGGGCAGTGGGGTGGGGGGCTGGGCACAGGCTGGCATCTGTTCCTTTGTTTGGCTCCTTTCCCAGCCCCACTGACCTCAGACTGAGTCCTAGGAGTAAGAACTGCAAGCCCACATTCAACTGTGACTCTGAGCCATGTGGGGGTCAAGCCGTTCAGTTTGGGGGTCCCCATAACCAAGGGGAATGGACTGGAGGAGTGGGGGTATGTTCTGTGTGCCACAGAGCTTCGAGGTGCCCACATGGCTGGCATAAAGGGGGTTCCCCCCCTCCAGCGGGACTGGCGCCATTAAACTCCTGAGACACTGCCAAGTGGTGGGATTCTGCATGGGGGCCTGAGAGTCTTGGTGAGCTGGTGGGTGGCATATGGGTTAATCAGTGAACACTCTTTTAATATTTATTTATTTATTTACTGATTTCAGAGAGGAAGGGAGAGGGAGAGAGAGAGAAACATCAACAATGAGAGAGAATCATTGACCAGCTGCCTCCTGCACGCCCCCTACTGGGGATCAAGCCCGAAATCCGGGCATGTGCCCTGACCTGGAATCAAAAAGTGACCTCCTGGTTCATAGGTGGACGCTCAACCACTGAACCACGCCGGCCAGGCCACTGTGAACTCTTTTGTGTCCACTGTTGCTGAGGCCCTGGGGCTGGTTTCACATGATAGAGAAACATTCAGGGACCTCAAGGTGCAGGTTACGGCCAGGCCAGGGAAGGGGGGTGGGGTGGGGTGGAGTGGAATTGATGTCAAGGGGTTGGAGCTGAGATGGGGGCCTGTGACTTCTGCAGTGTCCGGGCTGGGTTCCTGAGTGTGAAAAAGTGTGTGTGGGAGGGATGGCTCTCTGTGGCTCCAGAAGCTGGCAACTGACGTCTACCTTTCCTGTCTGCTCCTGTGTCGTTCTTAACCTTCAGTCTCTACGTCCAGGGCCCCAAATTGCCCGTTTCAATGGGGAGGAGTAGAAAATTGGGTGCCAGGGGCACAGTCTTTGATCGCTAACCCCTGGATTTCCAAATCAGTCACTGCTGCTATCCAGCAGTTCTCTGGGCACAAGAGAGGGTAACTGACCAGCTTGGGAAGGACAGTGAGGTGGGGGCGGGGAAAAGCACCCTCACCGCCCACATGAGCTCAGGCTCAAGGATTTCCAAGGGGAGCCAGGGCCCTGTGAGGGGAGGGCCCAGAGGCTACAGCAGCCTGGAGCCCCAGGGGAGGCAAGGTCAGTGGAAATGATCAAGGCCAGACGGGGAGGGGAGGGGAGGACAGAGGGCGCACGGTCTACTGCCATGCACTCTGGTAGTTCAAAGCGTTTTCTTCCTGAATTCCTCTTTATTTTTATTTTGTTGTTTTTTTTTAAATCCTCACCCAAGGATATTTTTCCATTGGTTTTTAGAGAGAGTGGGAGAGAGAGAGGGAAAGACAGAGAAATATCGATGTGTCGATTGGTTGCCTCCTGCAGGAGCCCAGACCAGGGTACAGGGCTGGGATGGAGCCTGCAACCAAGGTGCGTGCCCTTGACTGGAATCGAACCCGGGACCCTTTGGTCCACAGGCCGACATTCTATTCACTAGGGCAATTCCTCTTTATTTAAGAATCCAGATTCTGCCTGGAAAAATTACCTTCTAAAACCTGCCCAGAGCCCTCGCTGGTTTGGCTCAGAGTGTCAGCCTGTGGACTGAAGAGTCATGTGTTGATTCTGGTCAAGGGCACATGCCTGGGTTGCGGGCTTGATCCCTCATAGGCGGAGTGCAGCAGGCAGTGGATCGATGATTTTTCTGTCATCATTGATGTTTCTCTCTGTCTCTCCCTCTCTGAAATCGATAAAGATATATTTTTAAAAAATAAAATATAATAAAACCTGCCCAGAACAAAGGTGGAAAACACTATACAATATAGGCAGAATAACGGGTGATAGTAAAAATCCTCTCCTGAATTTTTCCAGACCTCTTCCTTGATCGGCTGCTACTTTGATAAGGCCCAGAGGCATAAACATGACTATTGATCAAAGTGCTTAAGCCTGATAATGGACGGAGTCAGGGAGCTGGTGGTTCCGGCCCGGCTCAGCTGGTAATGAACGTGAATAGCACAGGCTGCTTGCTCTTGGGTTCCGGGCCTTCCTGCTGTGCCACTGTCGGGGAACCACTGCTGTTGGGGAACCGCCTGGTGCACACCTCGCACCTCAGCTGGAAGACTGAGGCTCGAGGGGCCCTGGGCTGCGGATCTTAGGGGGCCCCGGAGCCCGAGCCACCACCGGAGCCCCAGCCCCTGACTGTGCAGCAGTCCCAGTGCTGCAGCAGGGACGCTAGCCCTGAGCAGCCTCCGGGTCCAGGGCTACCTTAGGAAAGGCCAGGACTGCCGGGGGAGGGGGGGTGGGGTGGGATGGGGAGAGGTCAGGGGTCTTTGTGAACCCACAGTCACAGGGAGGGCAGGGGCGGGGGTGGGTCCGAGGTGGGCCGCTCTGGGGTGCCACCCCATGGACACTCAGGGTTGTGGGGGCCCCCCAGGCACAGGCTGGGTGACTCGCCCAAGGTCACAGGGCAAGCTGGCCAAGGGGTGCATGAGGGTACAGTCTGGAGTCTTCACAGGTCTCTCCCTGCACAGCAGAGGCCTGGCTCTGCTCCCACAAGCAGGAAGCCCTTGGAGCAGCGGTTCTCAACCTGTGGGTCGCGACCCCTTTGGGGGGTCGAACGACCCTTTCACAGGGGTCCCCTAAGACCATCGGAAAACACATAGATAATTACATATTGTTTTGTGATGAATCACTATGCGTTAATTATGTTCAATTTGTAACAATGAAATTGGGGGTCACCACGACATGAGGAACTGTATGAAAGGGTCGCGGCATGAGGAAGGTTGAGAACCACTGCCTTGGGGACTCCAGCGCCTGGAGCGAGCAGTCAGTCCTTCGGTTAAAACGCGAGGAAGAGGGAGCGGGTGGGGGAGTGGCCTGGCGCTAACGCAGCTTCTTAGCAGCGCAGCCTCCCGGTGGCAGGTGCAGCCTGGCGTGGTGCTCCAGGACTTGGCTTGAGGGGTCGTGGGGCACCCTCGTGGGCCTCTCTTCGCCCCCCTTTCCCCCCCGCAAACGGGGGTCCTTCCAGGGCCTCTCTGGCTCAGAGGTCGTGGCCCGATTGAGGTCGTGCAGCTGCGAAGGGGCAGAGCTGGCATCTGAACCCCTGCTGGTCTGTGTGCCAGACCCCCAACATCCGAGTTCCGCGTGAGGGAAGGCTTATGGGTGGAGGAGGCGCCAAGAATGGGGGAGCCCTGGGGGTTCCTCCCACCCCACCTTCCAGGACAGACCGGGCTCAGGCTTCTCTTAGGTCCGGGCGAGGGGAGCATGGGAGGGGGCAGCTTCGTAAAACTCAGAGGAACAAGATGGAGTCTCCCGGTGGGCATCGGGGTTTCGGGGGCTCGAGGTCACCGCCCTCCGCGCCGCTGATGTCCTGGGGCGAGTCCCTGCCTTGCTTCCCGCAGCGCCCGCGGCCGCCCCTGCCCCTCGGGCCGCGCATGCGCAGTGCGGCGCGCGGGAGGCGGCGGCGGCGCCCCAGGTGCTGCGCCCAGACGCCGGCCCGGAGGCTGCCGCTCGGCGCGGGGCGTGGCGCCGCCTCCAAACCCGCGGAGCCGGAGCCGGAGCCCGCAGCTCCCGGGGGCGCGCCGAGTCTGCGGTTCTCGACGGCGCGGGCCGGGCCGCCTGGATCCGCGCTCCCTGCCTCTCAGCGGGCGGCCGCCCGACGGGCTTCCCTCAGCCCCGGGCCTCAGGGCGGACGCGGCGAGGCCGCCGGGGCGCTTCTTTCGGGGGTCGGAGCCGCGAGGTGTCGGGCGCCGCGGGGCTCCCGGCGGGGAGAGCGCGAATCTCCTCCCCGGCGTTTCCCGGAAGCGCGGCCGGCGAGTGGGCGATGTGAGGGCGGCCGGGCGCCTGGGGAGGGCATGTTCGGCGGGGCGTCCGCGGCGCCCCCGCCCCAGCGCCCCCTCCGCGCCGCCGCCGCCTCGTGATAAAAGCGGCCGCCGCGCTTCCTGACGTGAGACCCGCGCTCCGGCCGCCCGCCCGCCCGCCCGCCCGCGCGGCGATGACACGGCGCTGGAAGTGGCCGCGAGGCGCCGGGCGGGCCGTTGGCTGACCGTTTGCTGACCGGAGAACCGCCGCCGCCAGCATGGGCTGCGCTTCGAGCATGTGCAGTTCCGGGACCCAGACCGTGTACCCGGGCGCCCGGGACTCCGAGGACGCGCAGGACCCCGCGGCGCTGCTGCCTCCGCCGGGCGGGCCGGGCGCCCTGGTCCCTCTGGAGCCCGAAGCCTTGGCCACCACCAGCGGCGCGCTCCCCGCGGACCTCCCCCAGCATCGCGACTGTAAGGTAAGGGCGCCGGCGGGCGGGAGCTCTCCCTCCGGGCCGGGCGGGGCCGCCTCCGGGCCTCGGTGCCCAGGCCGGGCTCCGGGTGACGGACGGACGCCCGCAGCCCGTCCCGCCGGGCAGCGACCGGGCCCCGGGCCCTGATGAAGGTTGTGGGGTGAGTTTCGGGGAGGCACCAGACGTCCGGAGCCCGGGGTCCTCTGTGAATTGTCGAAGGCGCTGGAGGCCGTTCCCTCCCCCCGAGCGGGCCGGGGATCCCCGGAGCCGGGTCGGGGTGAACTTGGTTCCCGGTGGAGGGAAGGGGGCGCCGCGGGGCCCGCGCGCTGCGTGGGGACCATCCCCCGCGGCGCGTGCATTTGAGGTTCACGTCTCTCCGCAGACATGTGTGTGCGGTGCACGGATTTACAGAACCCGACCAGGAACGCCGGCTTTGAAACGTTCATCAGAACAAAGCTAATTTTTTTATATTAAGCAGTCGACTGGCGGAACACATTTGTGACTTTCTTGTCCTTTTTATTTTTATTTATTTTTTAAATAATTGAACATCTTCTCCAAAGTGTATTGCCTCGGCTATGTTTTCTCAAAGTTTCTGGGCCTTAATCTTTGCTAATTTTTTTTCTTTTTAAAGAATGATCATTTCTTTTCTTTTTTTAAAAGGGGAAATCAAATAAAGTTCAGTAGGGCACACAGCAGCAGTTTTCCAGGGCTCTGACTTGAACTGTTACAGCTGGAACGTATGCGTTGTTGATGTTTTACTAAAGGAGGGAAGGCAGATTGGTGCGAATGGTCACAGGTGGTTGAAGAGCAGCATCCCTCTCCCCGCAGCTGCTCAGAGTCGAGTCGTTTGCAAACGTAACCTGCTTTTCTGTGCAAATTTAACCTGCTTTTCTTTGCAAACTTAACCTGCTTTTCTGTGCAAATTTAACCTGCTTTTCTTTGCAAACTTAACCTGCTTTTCTGTGCAAACTTAAACTGCTTTTCTTTTCAACTGAGGACTGCGAGACCTCCCGAGCTTGAGGGCTGTAGCTGGGTTCGCTTTCTGTCTTAAGTTTGCATCAGTAGTCATGATATTTTTTTTTTTCTATAACAGGTGGAGGTGATTTTCTCCACCCCTCCCCGTATATCACGTGAGAACTCACCTTGTTCTCATTATCAGAAGGTGCGCGCTCTCTGGGTAGATTCTTCAAAGACACACACACACCAGCAGTGGTTTTAGACTGTTGACCCAAGCTGCTCCGCATATCCGCGTAATGCTTATCCATTAAGCCTACCTAACTGGCTTTTTTTTTTTTTTTTTTTTTTTTTTTTTTTTAAAGCATTACAACAAGTGACGTTGAATCTGGAAACTTTTAACAGCTTTCAAGTTTTTTTGGCCCGAGTCTAATCTCGGTTTGTCTTGCATTAACTGATATTAAGCTTTTAGGCCATGACAGTAGCCTTTTTAGCGAGAGGCCCTTCTGTCTTCACTGTCTTCCTTTTTGTGGCGGAGTGGCTGTCTTGAAATGCCCCTGGTGTCTTATAAGCCTCTCCAGTGCAGCAACTTACTCTAAGCCTGTTATCCACAGTGCCCGATGTTCCCCGAGTTTCCAAGAGTCTTAAATTTTCTGTCCTGCTGTCAGACCATCGTCTTGATTTGGGTCCCACAAAAGTACATTTACCATGACAGTGCTTAATCCAGTGGCATGCGTATAGTGGGTGTTAAAGAAATGTTGACCGAGTTTGTATGTGTTTTTTTTATTGGTAACTGAATGTTGAAACATTTTCAGTCACTGGAATTTGGTTCTGTAAAACCTCCAACATAGGCTTTAAGACTATATTATATTGCCCTAGCCAGTTTGGCTCAGTGGATAGAGTGTTGGCCTGTGGACTGAAGGGTCCCATGTTCGATTCCGGCCAAAGGCACATGCCTGGGTTGTGGGCTTGATCCCCAGTAGGGGACGTGCAGGAGGCAGCCGATCAATGATTCTCTCTCATCATTGATGTTTCTATCGCTCCCTCTTCCTTCCTCTCTGAAATCAATAAATATAGGAAAAAAAGAAAAAAAATATTATATCAGGAGGAGGGGTCAAATTGTAAGTAACAATATCACAACCACAGACATACTATAGTCTCATGCTTGTGACTCACGAACTGTACATGTTGATACCACATCTCAGTTCTAGGTCTTTATAATTAGACATTTCTGGTAATAGGGCAGAGGTAAATATTGGCCTTTTTTTGTTCAATATTGTTTCTTTAAGGGAATATATTAAATATACTCTGGAAATATAAAAATGCATGCTTAGAGGGGATAAACTGCCAGCAATTTAGCAAAATTGCATTATTTTACAATTAATTTGAATCCTTTTTATAAACATATCAAGATCCAATTTCTGTTAAAATTTTTCTTCTTAAAAAATACAGTAAGTCAGCATATTGTTGAGTGATTTTCAGTAAGAAACTCATTGGGGGAAGTTTTTATATTCCTAAAGCATAGAGTAAACACCAGTTCATCAGCACATGCTTGGGAGAGTGGTAATTAATTGCATTTTCAGATTAATTATTAAGCAGTGTATTCCCTACACTGTAGTGATCCCACATGTGTTCCCTGAAGCAAGTTGTGTACTCTTAATAAGTATTAAATAAAAAAATGGTTCATGGTCAAATAAATTTGGGAAATACTGCCTCAGACTAAGTTCTGCAGAATTCTTTCGTGCAGGATTGGTCATAAAACTGAATTTTCAGAAACACACTGTGGCTCCCCAAATCATTCCCCAAACTTGCAACATTCCCCAAACTTGTTTTGATTACAGAGCCCTTCTATCGAGGTGTATCTTAGAGGCAGGCCGCACATTAGAACATGAGTATTCAAAGTACAAGAAATACACTTAACAGTAAAGCTCAATAAATACAATATGCTCCTTAATGATTCCAAAGGTACTTTAGGATCTTGTAATACATTTAATTAATATATTTAAATATAACTAAAAGTACTCTGACTGTTGATTCATTTCGGGAGTTACAGCCTGTGTGGTTACCGATGATGAATGCTGTGTTCAGTTTTGTTTTGTTTTCAATTGGGGTGAGTGTTAACTGTAACATTTCAGTGTCTTCTGTCAGTTTTGGGATTTCCTCTGTTTTCCCTTTCCTTAGCTAGGACTTGAGTGGCCCTGAAAAGAGCTGAGTGTGTGGGGCAGGGTGTCAGAGGGGACCCTATATGCTCACCCTCCCTTTCAGCAAACACCCAAAGCACTGCCCTGATTGATGCCCTCCCCACCCTGTGTGGCTAGCCAGCTCTGTGGAGTGGCAGTCACGTCTGTTTCGTTCACTGCTGTACCCCACAAGCTCCCACAGGTCTTCACAGCCATTTGTTGAAGTGGAGACTTGTGTGCACCAGGCTGTAGAAGTGGGCAATCCACCCAGCCCATAAAAAAGGAGAAACAGAAACCAGCGTGGAGGCTGTAGAGCTTGGGTTTGATTTTGAGGAAATCTCGGGTTATTGGACCCAGGGAGCAATCTGTTTTCACCTTGGTGAGCAGAGTAGATTTCCCTGTAAAGATGGAAGGGTTAGTGTAGCTGGATGAACAGGGCACAACAGGTGACAGAGAATAGCATAGCCACACACTGACCCAGGGCCACAGCCTCCAGCACTCGGAATCCTCACAGGTGGATTTCTGTTTTGGCCATGTCCAGTCTTCACTCTGTCCTCTTTTCCTCACCTCCTATTCGCTCTCTCTTTTCCCCACCAGCTTCTCCATCTTCCTCCCTGCCCACCCAACCTTCCTCCACAAAACTGGCCAAACTAGCCATCTTACTCAAAGTTGTGTAGTTTCTCAGTGTTTCTCGGCTGTGGAATCAAATTTATTTCCTGCTCTTAATATACCAAGTGGATTAATCAAATCTTTATATTTCCCTAAGCTAAAGCAGATGTCTCTTTTTGTGTGACCTGACTGCTTTTCCCCCCACGAGAGGTCATTGATCCTTGGTAGATTATATGCAAGTATAGAAAATTTCCCTCTGGAAATACAATTGAGAAAATGCGACAACCACTGAGCCACACCAGCTGGGCTGTGCTGTATATTTTTTAAACATAAAGCAGATTTTATAGACATAGAATAGGTATTGAAGAAAATATGAAAAGCCAAATCTCTATGAGAGGCCTGGCAAAATAATAAGATTCTACATACCGAAAGGTTTAAGTGCAGGATAATGAGAGAACTCTCAGCCCATGAGCGCCAGAGATAAATTACAGTCACTTATTTCAGAAACAGAAAGGGGAGGGGGGTGTCGCATTTTCTCAAATGTCCGTCAACCACGTAAATAAGTTGTGATATGCTTAAACAGTGGACTGACTAGTTTACAGCTCTGAAAATGAATGGATTGTGGCCACAGGTATCAACGCAGATCAATTTCTAAAACTTAATGTTGAGAGAAGTTATATAAGAACTTATGAAGCATAATTCCTTTTATTTAAAATTTAATAGCTAAACAGTATATTATGTGGGGTTGTGTATAATAGATACATAGGTAATAAAGCTATAAAGAAAAAATACTACAAAATTCAGTTAGGTAAAGAAACTTTATTTTAGGGACTAAAATGATTAGCAGGTTAATTTGAGTGCTTACTATAGAGAGTATAGGAGGGCTGAACAAGGCCCTGCCCTCAGGGCACAAGAAGTCCTCCCTGGGAAGGTGTGGCAGGGCTCCGCCCTGGAAGTGATGGTAGTGCCACAGGAATGGATGGGTGCCCAGGGCACAGCCAGGAGCTTGGTCTGGATTGGTCATAAGGTATAGAGACAGGAAGGGAGGGGGGACTTGGGCCTGGACAGGTAGACAGGTGTGAGGGTGGAGGGGTGGCTTGCTTTGCAGACTGGGAGGGGGCTGACCAGGAATAGGATGGAGGGCCTGAAAGCCAGGTTGGGGAGTTTGAAGTCCATCCTGTAAACCTTAGAGAGCTCCCAAAAGCTTTTTCACTTTCCTCAGGGTAAACACATTTTATGAAGGTTAAGTTTCAGAGGAAACTC